CCCTGCCTCCTGCCTCTCCCCCTCCCTCTGCATGACTGTCATGCAGACATCAGAGGCAGGGCAAAGAGGAAGCCTTCTTCCTGATGCAGAGGACTGACAGCCCTTCCTCCGGACTATCGTTTCAAGGATGCTTATGTATACAGCCTTGGAAGATGGAAACAGCACCTCCCTCTGGAGAAAAGGCAGACATGGTCATGCCATTAATAAAAGACTCAGGTTTCCTGAGTTCAGGCTTCCTCTGCTATGATGCAGCCCACCAAATATACCCGTTTAGGCCCATCCCTGTGGGGCTTGGGTAGGAGGGAATTGATGCAAACATAGTGATGCTCCAGCTGCCTGCTGTGTTTACAGTCTGTGTTTGCATTTGCATGAGAACTACAGGTTGGGAAACATTGATTGTAGTTTATTTCTTGTGTTTCTGATCTATCCCAGGAAGCCAGATGTATCTGTTTTGAAATTGGATATTTATTTTTTACTTATATCCAGTTCTGAAGCCTCCCCAGGTTCTACCCTCAGGATCATAAATGCTATGTGGTTGTCCTCTCTTTAGGAGACCCCTCCCTGACACACCAAAGGCCATCTTCCACAGTAGTGCCTGCAGGGGTGACTCCAGAGCCAGAGAGCCCCTCTCCTTCTGGAAAAGGTAGGAATGTGGGAAACTTTTTAAGGACTCTCATTCCCTGCTAACACTCAGGTCCCCACAGATCTCTGGGATTCGTGGACAACTGCTGGAGTTCCACTACAAATTTATGTAATAGAACTAAAATTTTTTAAATCAAGAACAAAAATTTACTTTAGCTTAATTTTCTGTTTTAAATCAAAGGGAATTGATATCCAGGTTTTATATGTGCATGATTAATAATGGTTTGAAATCCACTCTATGTGAGATCAAACTTAATTTAGACTGCTGCCCTAATCAAAACCAGGGAGGGTCTGAGGTTTTTGCCTCCCTTGTGTGTAGCCTGCCACGGTTTCAGGGGTACTAGAACAAAACAGAACATTCCTGGGTCAGAGACTTGTTGTGGCCATCACTTTGTAAAGTATATAAATGTTGAATCACTAAGTTGTATATCTGAAACTAATATAATACTGTATATCAATTATAAATAAAAGTTTTTAAAAGCAACAACAAAAAAACAGTGCATGAGTTCTGATTCTAGAAGGAGCTCTGTAAGTGTTAATGAAAAAAGAAATGACTTTCAGAAATGTGAGACCCATCCATGCAGAATTGCCTCCCAACAATCCTAAACATCAGCGAGTTAACTATGATGGCTCTGGTGTAGCAGCATTGCACAAAGCTGCCAACATTCCATATTTCTACTGAGTCTTAGGTAATCATCTCTCCCAATTTCCTCAGCACTGTCAAAATGTTAAGAAAATTTGAAATCTTGGGTGCTAAATATGGTGGGACAATGTGCCCCATGTCCTATGATGCCCTTACTTTACACTTAACTCCTGATTTTTTGTGTCCCGTTATCCAGTCTGTGGCTTTTCCTGGCGCTTGTCTCCTCCCCTCCAGGCACAATCATCCCATTATGCTTGACAGGCCTTCCCTAGAGAGCTGGTTCCTAACCTCAGCTGTCCACTGAGGTCACCCTGGAACTCTGGAGAGCCATCTGAGAATCAGAATTCCAGATGCTCCCCAGGTGATTCATAGGTAGCCAAGGCTGGGAACCACTGCTGAAGGGAGGAGGGAGAGGCCAGAAAAAGGTTTCATCCCTAGTTAGTAGGTTGAGGAACTGTCCAAATTTAAGTTTCGGGTAATCCTAAAGCTCCTTTGATCTAAGTCACATCTGGTTCGCCCAATTGATGAGAATAAGCAAGTGGCTTCTCCCAGCCCCACCTTCGTGTGCCAAACGCTTGATCAGATGAAACTGCACAGTTGGAATCTCAGGTGTGAGAGTGTTATCTTTGATGTGGGCAGTTGGATGGGAATGCTCTGGGGGAACTCTATCTGCAAAATACCTGGAGTTGCTAGCAGCCTGGGTAGTAAGAGGTAGTGACAAAGGATTAAAGGGCATGAGGATGTCTCATAGCATCTGTGGCTGGGATTGCATGGGAAAGTGGCCCAAACAGCGTGGCCGGGCAGCCAGAGATGCTGAGATTGGGGCAAAGGCAGGACAGTCTTCAAATACACTCTATTAGTTCAGATGGGCTGAATCTCAGGCTTCCCCTTATTTAGAAGTTTTGTGAAAACATGTACGAAATAAATTAAAATCAGCATCCTAGAAGTCTCATCTTTGGCAAATATAGTTCCATTCGTGTGGTTTGTGTGTGTGTGTGTGTGTGTGTGTGTGTGTGTGTGTGTGTTTAAGACTAGCCCGGCCGGGCGTGGCTCAGTGGTTGAGCATTGACCTAGGATCCAGGCGATCGGGGTTCGATTCCCGGTCAGGGCACATGTCCAGGTTGTGGGCTTGATCCCCAGCAGGGAGCAGCCGATCAATGACTCTCTCATCATTGATGTTTCTATCTCTCTATCCCTCTCCTTTCATCTCTCTGAAATCAATAAAGATATATTTAAAAAAAAAAAAAAAAAAACTAGTCTTCTCTAGTAAACAAGCCTGGATCTACTCTTGTTCTCTCAATAAGGCTGCATCTAGTTTACTCTGTAAATGCTCTAGCATTCTCAAAAGTCTTGTGGCCACCCAGGATGGGTGACTACGTTATGCACTTACGGGATTTTCGTAAAGAGCCCTGGAGCATGTGCTGGGGGAGGGCTAGCCCGCGGCGGGCTGGTTAGAGCAGGTATTAAGTTCACTCTCTTCTGGAGCTGAGAAAGTGACTATTCTAAACATTTATGTTCTCCATGTGTTGCACCTTCCTACAGAGCCAGCTTTCACTTCCAAATCAGACACCACAGTGGCCACAAAGCCAGCTACTATACCAGGCTCCAGGCTGATGCCATCAAAACCTCCTTCTGCAGGAACCACAGGGGTAGTCAGGAACCCCCAAACTCCATCTCAGGCAACAGCAAAGGCCTCGGAACACACTCCCACCGCCTCGCTCGAGAAGCCAGGTTAGCACTGGCTTTGCCCACTTTAGGGGAGGTCAGCTCTCTGCCTGCATGGCATTAAACCATCCAAAGTCAGGACAACTTACAACCCTCTGCCACCTGCTCTCTGCCACAGCCTTTTTGCTCTGGTCTCTATGTTTTGTGCTCCACCCTGGCTCAGTCCAGGGGAAAAAGAATGTCCATTTCCTGTTATGTGCCAAGACTCGCTGTATTAACCTGCTTTGCCAAGAATCAGTAATATCTGCCTCCTCCCAACATGGGAGGACAGAAGAAGCTTTCCACCCTCTGGAGTCACGATCTATGGGATGGAAGAGCTCTCGGTAACCTGTATCTTCTGTAAGGACACATTTGATTCTTACGCATGTAAATGAATTAATTGCCTTGCTTGTTCTTTGCTAAAATGAGTTTGGTTTTGCCAGCCGTGCATCTCTCAAGGCTTTAAGATGGGAACCAAATTGTCCAGAATTTCTCCTGCATAATGAAAACAGTGCCTTTGGACTACAGTCATAATTGAGCTGCAATCTCTTCTCTGCAGGTGCACATTCATACAATTCCACAGCTGTCATTGGTAAGTATTTTGTTTTTTTTTTAATTAAAAAAAATTTTATTTTTTTTTTTACTTTTTAAATTTATCTTTATTGTTGAGAGTATTACAGGTATACCATTTTCCCCCGCAAATGACCCCCTCCACTTCGCTCCCACCCCCTCCCCAGGCCTTCACCCTGTTATTGACTGTGTCCATAGGTTATGCATATATGCATATAACTTCTTTGGTTAATTTCTTCCCACCCTCCACCCCCCTTCCCTCTTTCCTCTGAAATATGATTGTCTGTTGCATGT